TGGATGTGGTTTTTTATTGTGCGGGATTAGTATTTTGTTATTGGGTGAATCTTATTTTATCTTTACTGCTTGTTACATAAATTCCATGTCGGTCATAAGAATATAAAGCATGAAAGCTTTGTATGGTTTCTCGCCGTATGTTTATTTTTAAGTTTGTTTGTATTTATATTATTATTTTTTAATACATTTCATTTTTATACTATGTCATTCTTTATTACGTATTTTTAAAAAAATAATAATTAAGAGAAGCAATTGTTTTTAATTTGTTTAGTGTAAAAAAAAAGTTTCTTAATTAAGAGCACCCATATTTGACTATTTAAAAAAGGGAAATAAGTCATGGAAGTGGTTTGAACGTTTGCCTAACTTTCACATTACAACTCATGTAGCCTATATATTTTTTTCCTTTACGAAACAGCGTGTGTTAGCTACTGTAGAACATCACTACTGTAGTAGATCTGTGTGGTTTTTTTTACAAGAAAATAATTTTTTTAACTATTAAAAAAATGGACTATGGTCGGCTGTGGGCCCCCTAAACGGCCTGGCCCCCCCCCCCGCATTGCGGGGTCTGGCGGCACTATAGTTCCGCCCCTGTGTAGAGCTAGATTTGACGGTAGGACTCGTCAACCAAACGAGTCAATATCAGAATATGTTGCTGCTTTACGTCATCTAAGTAGATTTTGTGAATTCGGCGATACGCTGTCTGACAGACTATGTGAAAAGTTTGTGACAGGTGTAAACAGCCCTGATGTTCAAAGAAAGTTGCTGCTCGAGTCAGATCTAACATTAGAAAAAGCAATACAACTTGCAACTTCATTCCAGCAGTCATCTGAGGCAGCAAAATCTCTAACGCCTTCAGAGATCCATGCAGTAAACAGCAGGTCAGTCAACAAACACCAACCCCATCAGAGCATTTCAACTTATGCTAAACAGCCTGCACGTTCAAATCCTAGATCTAAATCTAGTAATAATGATGAAAAATGTCATCGATGCAAAGGTCCCCATGCATCTCATCGATGCAAGTTCAAGTCTGCAACTTGTTATAAGTGCAGTAAGCAAGGTCACATTGCCAAGGCCTGCTTTGCAAAGTCTTCGTCTGTTGCTAAATCTAGCCAGTCAAGACAGTACCGCAACCAAAGGCAGCACTATGTTAACTCTCACCAAGACTACCTAACCCAACCAATGAACCACTCTACCTGTGAAAATGCTCAAACTGATTCGCAGCCGGATTTCAACCTGTTCTCTGTGAAATCAATAAGTCATGCTCCCATCAATGTACTAGTTAATATCAACGGTAAGAGCATCAGCTTCCAACTTGACACTGGAGCATCTCTAACAGTCATCACAAAGAAGGACTTTGACGCTGTCACAGGAGGATCAGTGCCTCTACAACCATGTCACAAGTGTCTAACAACATACACTGTTGACAATGTTCCGGTAATAGGAGAGTGTATGGTTCATGTAAGTTATAATGGTCAAAGTGTTAAACTTCCTCTTCTTGTGGTTGAAGGAAATGGACCACCATTACTAGGTAGGAACTGGTTAAGTGATCTTAAGTTAAATTGGGAGAGTATATTTTCAGTGATCAAAGCAAGAGAATCTAGTTTTACTTCAATAGATAAAGTTATATCTGAAAATGAAAGTGTTTTTGGTAATTCAGGATTACTAAATGATAGAACAGTGAAGATAAGCATTAAAGACACAAATCCAAGATACTGCAAAGCTAGAGTTCCACCTTATGCAATGAGGGATACAATTGAAAATGAGCTAAGTAGATTGGAACCTAATGGCATCATAAAGAAGGTAGACTATTCCGATTGGGCAACGCCCATTGTGCCAGTGTTAAAGAAGGATGGTTCTGTAAGAATTTGTGGAGACTATAAAGCTACACTGAATAAGCAAATAGAGCTAAATAGGTACCCTATTCCTAACATTGAGGAAATTTCTTTGAATTTGGCAGGAGGAGACAAATTCACTGAATTAGACTTTAGTCATGCTTACACTCAACTAGAACTGCATCCAGATTCAAAAGTCTATACGACAATAAACACACATAAAGGACTCTACCAATATGAAAGACTATGTTTTGGTATATCATCCAGCCCTGGAATTTTCCAGGCTGTCATGGACAGTATTTTTAAGGATATTCCAAATGTTTGTGTTTACTTTGACAATGTGTACATAACTGGTAAGAATGACACTGAACATCTTAAAACACTTGATAAAGTCTTGAAAATAGTTGGTGAAAAAGGTTTAAAGATAAACAAAGATAAATGTCAATTCATGCTGACAGAAATTAGTTTTCTTGGTTATATATTAAGCAAGCAAGGTATCAGACCTCAACCTGAGAAAACAAAAGCCATTAAAGAAGCACCCAAACCTGAAAATACCCAACAACTAAGAGCTTTTTTGGGCTTGATAAATTACAATGCAAAGTTCATAGGGAATCTGTCTGGTAAACTATCACCACTGTACAAGCTGCTACAGAAAAATGCAACTTGGCACTGGGGTAAACAACAAGATGCTGCTTTTAATACAGCAAAAGAAGCTTTGTCTTCTGACACCTTACTAACTCACTATGACCCAGGGAAAAGACTTATATTAACATGTGATGCTTCACCAGATGGTGTAGGAGCAGTCTTATCCCACATAGATGAAAAGGGTGACAGGCCCATTGCTTTTGCCAGTAGATCTTTGAACCAGGCTGAGAAAAATTATTCTCAGTTAGATAGGGAAGGCTTAGGCATCATTTTTGGTGTTAAGAAATTTCATAAGTTTCTGTTTGGTAAAGAATTCACCATCTTTACAGATCATAAACCATTGCTAGGTTTATTTGGAGAAAACAAACCCCTACCTGAGCATGCCTCACCAAGAATTCAAAGATGGGCTATCACACTAACTGCATACAATTATGATTTGAAATACAAACCTGGATCTGAGAATAGTGCAGATAGTCTTAGTCGATTACCTTTAAAAAACCAAAGCCTTAATTATGTACCAGAGGATGTATTTGTTCTTTTCACTATCATGGATAACTCCAATATAGATGTGAATGATATTAAGAGAGAAACACAAAAAGATGAGTGCTTGATAAAAGTATATGAGTACTGTAAGAATGGTTGGCCTGAAGAGTCAGTGAATGATGATTTAAGGCCATATAAAATAAGAAATAAAAACCTTTGTGAAGATAATATAAAAGATGGAGAAGATGCAGTCCATTATCAGTCAGAGTTGCCTAAACAAAGTATTTGTAACTTAATAAATGATTATGGTGATATGGCAATTTCAAATGCTTTTAAAAGAGAATACATTAGTAAGAAGGAATGTGATCATCAAACAACTTTGCTAACATCATTAGCACTTACAGAAACTAAAAGGGTAACATCAAAAGAAAAAAGATTTTTGCCATTTAATACACCCACTTCAAATACTGGATCACAGTTGCAAATTGATATGGTCCAGGATATTACTTTTAAACAGTATTTTTGGTTACTAAACAGCACTATCAGATTACCTGAGAAAATTGATCAATCAAAGAAAACTATGTCAGTTAAGGATCTGAATAATAGCATAATACTTTCAGATGCCAATTCAAAAATAGTTCCATTAAATCATGACAAACATCCATTGAAAGAGAATTTGGTGTTAATGAGAATGTGTATCTGAGAAATTATGGGAGAAGGGAAAAATGGATACCAGGTCAAATTGTTCAATGTACAGGACCTGTGTCTTATAAAGTAAAAACAAATGATGGACTTATTGTCCGTAGACATGCAGACCAGTTAAAAATAACTTGTGCAGATAATAAGTGTGAATCTATCAATCCCACCAAATCTGATCAGTTCACACCAACTCAGTTTGTTCCACAACCAAGTTCTGTTGATATGAGTGAACCAAGTTGTCTAGAGTCAGAAAATGTAAATTCTGGAATTAATGATTTAAATCCTAGACTTACTGAGATAGAGAAGCCATATGGTCAGAATCTTGAGTCACCAAATCAAAAGCCACTGAGAAGGTCAAGCAGGACAATCAAAGTCCCAAATAAGTTAGACCTATGATTTTAAAGGTCAAAAGGACTTTGACATCATTGTTTTGTATTTTAATTATGTTGTAACATATTGTGCATTGTTTGTAAGGATGTAATCTACCATAGTGTTCATGTTACAATATAATTGGTGATTTTAGGATACTGTAAATTGTCCTATTGAGAGATGTGTTGTGTTTACTAAGGGTAAAGGGATGTAATATAGTGAGACTTGTGAAGTCAAGGGAACTCACTCTTCTTGTATTAGTATTATATTTATACTGTTATCTTGAGTGATGTCCCTTATATGTTTATATATCTTTGTGTCTCGTGACTTCCGCTCTCTCTCTCGTTACCATCATGTAGTTGGAGGCCAATAGAAGTTTTATATACAATCACATGCTTCTATCCTCAATCTATTACACAATCAAGTAAAAGTAGCTGATCTCTCACGTATACATACATTGGCCATCCACTATCTTTTTCCTTATTTTACAGTTACACAATACGCTTTAATACAAGTGTTTTCTTTTCATGGTGTTAAAACCAATCCAGTAAAAATGCTGGTGATTTTTGTTCGTGAAAAGCGCCCCCCCCCCCCACTCCACCATCTTGGACAAAGTTGGTAGAGCAGGGGGTGGTCGAGATTTTGGGTGGTTGTGTGCCATTTTGATGATGAAAATAGGTATTAATTGATGACAGAAATGGTCAAATTATTTTCACTCTTGTTTCTCTGGTTCAGAAGAAAGGTTGAAGCCATATTTGAACAGGATGTCTTCAATGCTGGCACTCCTGTATTTATTAGGGTATAATTATGGGAAAGCTTGTTACACAAACATGATAGTATAGGCAGGTTGGGTACTTTTTTTGTTTCCCAGTCTTCCCTGTAGGCACTATCAATCATCATTCTACTTTTATTTAAGTCATTTCAAATAAGAAACCACATAAAGAGAAAATAAGACTTGACAAAACCTAAGTAGTCGGAATATATTTTTATTTATTTTGAAAAGGTAACCATGTTAATGCTGCATATGTTGGAGAGATGTTACACCATGAGGTAGTACCTGTCTAATGTTGATATTGATCCTTGATGACTTCAAATATCTAGCAAATGGAGTCAAATCTAAAGTCTTTAGCACAGTGTAAATCTTATAGTTCACTTGATCAATATCTCTCTGATATTGCTGAAAAGATGGCGCCAAGTTGAGGGCATGATTATCTTCCCCTGGGCACTGATAGAGTAAGTCCTGAAAAAGTCCTTGAGTGTGTGTACACAAGTCAGTCTTGTGGCCACACCCACCATCCTGTGTGTGTGTACACAAGTCAGTCTTGTGGCCACACCCACCATCCTGTGTGTGTGTACACAAGTCAGTCTTGTGGCCACACCCACCATCCTGTGTGTGTGTACACAAGTCAGTCTTGTGGCCACACCCACCTTGCGAGCAACAGTTCTGTGGTGTGAGAGAGCCAACAAAAGGCTGTAGGTAAGCAGGGAACTCTTCTTGTGTTGGAGGTAAAATTTTGGGCACAGCATGATAAGCCAGCCGAGAAGGTCCACTCATAACACAAACATCTCCACTTTTTAACTTGACTGCTAGTGGTAGCACACACTTTGTCACACCTCCAATCAGAAATAGAGCTGTCTGTCCAAAACTGTCAAGTCAAAAAATTTTTTTACATGTCATCAAAAGTTTTAAAACAAGTCCCAATCAACATTTTTTTTTGCCAGCATTGTCTAACTAGTGTTACATTGCAACAGTAAACAACCACACACACAGTTAAGTGGGAACATTGCAACAGTAAACAACCACACACACAGTTAAGTGGGAACATTGCAACAGTAAACAACCACACACACAGCAACAGTAAACAACCACACACACAGTTAAGTGGGAACATTGCAACAGTAAACAACCACACACACAGTTAAGTGGGAACATTGCAACAGTAAACAACCACACACACAGTTAAGTGGGAACATTGCAACAGTAAACAACCACACACACAGTTAAGTGGGAACATTGCAACAGTAAACAACCACACACACAGTTAAGTGGGAACATTGCAACAGTAAACAACCACACACACAGTTAAGTGGGAACATTGCAACAGTAAACAACCACACACACAGTTAAGTGGGAACATTGCAACAGTAAACAACCACACACACAGCAACAGTAAACAACCACACACACAGTTAAGTGGGAACATTGCAACAGTAAACAACCACACACACAGTTAAGTGGGAACATTGCAACAGTAAACAACCACACACACAGTTAAGTGGGAACATTGCAACAGTAAACAACCACACACACAGCAACAGTAAACAACCACACACACAGTTAAGTGGGAACATTGCAACAGTAAACAACCACACACACAGTTAAGTGGGAACATTGCAACAGTAAACAACCACACACACAGCAACAGTAAACAACCACACACACAGTTAAGTGGGAACATTGCAACAGTAAACAACCACACACACAGCAACAGTAAACAACCACACACACAGTTAAGTGGGAACATTGCAACAGTAAACAACCACACACACAGTTAAGTGGGAACATTGCAACAGTAAACAACCACACACACAGTTAAGTGGGAACATTGCAACAGTAAACAACCACACACAGCTAAGCGCGAAGATTGCAAGTAATGTCGTGTAGCTAACACAAGTGAATGACCTGATGGAAAAGAGTGGTGCAGAATGATCTTGCTCTGAGTGATCTGTGTGAGCAGCCAGTGTGGAGTCCATGTGATAATAGTTGACAATGGCGGCCTGGGGCTTGTAGGGCCCAAAGCCCAGGCAGGCAGCCAAGTACTGAGACAGACAGCTGACATCACTGGGGAACTGGCCCACATTCTCGGCTGAATACTCCTGACACAGAGAAAATGGCCAACTGTTTAGACAGACTGCACTACTCTCTTTCAGAAATAAATCCCAACTCATTTTGAAAAAAGAAATAAACCAATACTTATTGACCTTTGTAGTCCAGTTATAGTGGTAGCCTAATGTTGTCCACCGCAGTTGTCTCAGCCTATCTGCTTTGGTCAGTTCAGTGCTGGTAAAATATAAAGTCATGGTGTTATCAGTTATAGTGGTAGCCTAATGTTGTCCACCGCAGTTGTCTCAGCCTATCTGCTTTGGTCAGTTCAGTGCTGGTAAAATATAAAGTCATGGTGTTATCAGTTATAGTGGTAGCCTAATGTTGTCCACCGCAGTTGTCTCAGCCTATCTGCTTTGGTCAGTTCAGTGCTGGTAAAATATAAAGTCATGGTGTTATCAGTTATAGTGGTAGCCTAATGTTGTCCACCGCAGTTGTCTCAGCCTATCTGCTTTGGTCAGTTCAGTGCTGGTAAAATATAAAGTCATGGTGTTATCAGTTATAGTGGTAGCCTAATGTTGTCCACCGCAGTTGTCTCAGCCTATCTGCTTTGGTCAGTTCAGTGCTGGTAAAATAAAAAGTCATGGTGTTATCAGTTATAGTGGTAGCCTAATGTTGTCCACCGCAGTTGTCTCAGCCTATCTGCTTTGGTCAGTTCAGTGCTGGTAAAATAAAAAGTCATGGTGTTATCAGTTATAGTGGTAGCCTAATGTTGTCCACCGCAGTTGTCTCAGCCTATCTGCTTTGGTCAGTTCAGTGCTGGTAAAATAAAAAGTCATGGTGTTATCAGTTATAGTGGTAGCCTAATGTTGTCCACCGCAGTTGTCTCAGCCTATCTGCTTTGGTCAGTTCAGTGCTGGTAAAATAAAAAGTCATGGTGTTATCAGTTACTTCCAGACATCTCATCAAGTAAGTCTCCTCCCTCCCCTCAGTGAAATGGAATTTATATAGAAAATATACTTTTAAAAGTGTCCCCCCCCCCCCCCCCCCCCCCGGAAGGGATATAAAATATTACTATTTTAAAATCAAAATTTGCTTTTTCATTTCTTTTAATTATTAGATTTATTCATTACTAAATGATCCTTAAAAATGCAACATGTTTTGTAAATTTGCTGATGTATAATACTATATTCAAATCAAAATGCTGAAGAGAAAAACACTAAGAAGAGTAACCCAAGTTTTTTTTTTTTTGTGCTTTGTTAATTTCTAACATGAAAACACTAATATCAAAATAATTGAGTCTTGAAAGTATTACAAGATTAACATTTGATGGACAAGGCTGTTGTCTGACTCTACAGCACTTTGTGCATGCTGTTGTCTGACTGTACAGCACTTCCTGCACGCTGTTGTTTGACTGTACAGCACTTCCTGCATGCTGTCATCTAACTGTACAGCATTTCCTGCATGCTGTTGTCTGACTGTACAGCACTTCCTGCACGCTGTTGTCTGACTGTACAGCACTTTGTGCATGCTGTTGTCTGACTGTACAGCACTTCCTGCATGCTGTTGTCTGACTGTACAGCACTTCCTGCATGCTTTTGTCTAACTGACTGTACAGCACTTCCTGCATGCTGTTGTCTGACTGACTGTACAGCACTTTGTGCATGCTGTTGTCTGACTGACTGTACAGCACTTTGTGCACGCTAGAAATGGTTGGGTGCCAACATATTTTAATGCTTACATCTTCTAGGTTGTTACAGTTGAAAGCAGCTTTAAGTTTTCCCATTTATAACTTAACAGTCTATGGGGTAGATAGAGTTCACCTGTTTCTATGACTTCGGCATATGAAGGTTTAGTCGGGTCAGCACTATGCCCAGCGGCTTTTACTTTTTCTAATGCAAGATGGATACCCTTCACATCTGGGTGGGCTCAGAATAGTTAGTGTCTTTTTGGTTATCAATACAAACATCTGGGGGGAGGGGGGGGGGGACTGATACAAGTTTATATTTTCTACATAAATTCTATTTTGTTTGAGGGTGGAGTAGAAGTTCAAGTGGGGCTCTACCTCCCCCCCCCCCCCACCTTTTTGACGAGTTACCTGAAAGAAACTCAATGTGACTTTTGTCAAGTTTGAGCTAAGGTGTAAGGTTTAGGGGTATGACTACAACTATATTTAGTATGAATGTGCAGTAACTATATGTAGATCAAGGTTAAATCCAGTTAAAATGCCAATTCTGGATAAAAATCCATTTTCAATTACATTTTTTGTTGAGGTGGTGATTTTGTTTTTGGTTTAGTGAATAAGACAACACCATCAACTGTTGTATTTCTCCCTCAACGGGCCATTTATCTAGTTAATAATAATTCTAACAAATAGTGTTTACTTAGTAGGTGAGTGGTATGTTCAGAGAGGGGTGGTTAGGAGCTTGTGTGAACAAGGGTTGGAATATGGTTGAAAGTGGACCGATGGCGTAGTGCGGCTAATTTAAGAATTGCTAAGTTTGTCTGTCTGTCTGTCTGTAACTCTATATAACTAAGTTATTAATTAGGAGAGATCAACAGGGTTTCCAATAGTCCCATGAATCAAGGGTACTCAACTGGGATTAAATATTTGCTCATTATGTAGATCCATGTTGTTTCCATACAATTTTATCTTTAGGAACTGACCTAGACAACTAATAATCTAATGAAACATTATTTAAAACAGGCTTTACTTCTAGTGATTAAATAGAGGGAAACTACTGCATTAACTTATTAAAGGGAAATTATTGTGTTGACTAACTGAAGGGAAAAAGCTAAAACATTTCAGAAAAATTGAGGACCACTTTCAAAATGAATCTTTCCAAATTTCAATCTTACCTTCCCTTGAGAATAAAATCTTGCCATAACCTTTCACCTCTCTCAGCGCCCAGAGCAGACAAGTTGGTGATGTTGTCTGGGTCTGAGGGGAAGTCTGCCAGACATCTTGAGATCCAGTAGCCCTGGCACCCAGGCAGAAATGGGTTTTTTACTATCATCAAGCCTGTAGGGAAAATAGGGAGATTTTCTACACCCAGCTGATGACAACACTATCATCAAGCCTGTAGCTGATGACAACACTATCATCAAGCCTGTAGCTGATGACAACACTATCATCAAGCCTGTAGGGATAATAGGGAGATTTTCTACACCCACCTGATGACAACACTATCATCAAGCCTGTAGCTGATGACAACACTATCATCAAGCCTGTAGGGATAATAGGGAGATTTTCTACACCCAGCTGATGACAACACTATCATCAAGCCTGTAGCTGATGACAACACTATCATCAAGCCTGTAGCTGATGACAACATTATCATCAAGCCTGTAGCTGATGTCAACACTATCATCAAGCCTGTAGCTGATGACAACACTATCATCAAGCCTATAGCTGATGACAACACTATCATCAAGCCTGTAGCTGATGACAACACTATCATCAAGCCTATAGCTGATGACAACACTATCATCAAGCCTGTAGCTGATGACAACACTATCATCAAGCCTGTAGGGATAATAGGGAGATTTTCTACACCCAGCTGATGACAACACTATCATCAAGCCTGTAGCTGATGACAACACTATCATCAAGCCTGTAGGGATAATAGGGAGATTTTCTACACCCAGCTGATGACAACACTATCATCAAGCCTGTAGCTGATGACAACACTATCATCAAGCCTGTAGCTGATGACAACACTATCATCAAGCCTGTAGGGATAATAGGGAGATTTTCTACACCCAGCTGATGACAAGACTATCATCACGCCTGTAGCTGATGACAACACTATCATCAAGCCTGTAGCTGATGACAAGACTATCATCAAGCCTGTAGCTGATGTCAACACTATCATCAAGCCTGTAGCTGATGACAACACTATCATCAAGGCTGTAGCTGATGACAACACTATCATCAAGCCTGTAGCTGATGACAACACTATCATCAAGCCTGTAGCTGATGACAAGACTATCATCAAGCCTGTAGGGATAATAGGGAGATTTTCTACACCCAGCTGATGACAAGACTATCATCAAGCCTGTAGCTGATGACAACACTATCATCAAGGCTGTAGCTGATGACAACACTATCATCAAGCCTGTAGGGATAATAGGGAGATTTTCTACACCCAGCTGATGACAAGACTATCATCACGCCTGTAGCTGATGACAACACTATCATCAAGCCTGTAGCTGATGACAAGTCTATCATCAAGCCTGTAGCTGATGACAACCTTTGCTGCCAGTCAAGTTATTTTAGAGCTTTATCATTCAGTGATGATATAAGGCTATCCTTCTCATAAAACTTCATATAACCACACCAATATTCCTAACAAAAACTAAGATAACCACACCAATATTCCTAACTAACACTAAGATAACCACACCAATATTCCTAACAAACACTAAGATAACCACACCAATATTCCTAACAAACACTAAGATAACCACACCAATATTCCTAACAAACACTAAGATAACCACACCAATATTCCTAACAAACACTAAGATAACCACACCAATATTCCTAACAAACACTAAGATAACCACACCAATATTCCTAACTAACACTAAGATAACCACACCAATATTCCTAACAAACACTAAGATAACCACACCAATATTCCTAACTAACACTAAGATAACCACACCAATATTCCTAACAAACACTAAGATAACCACACCAATATTCCTAACAAACACTAAGATAACCACACCAATATTCCTAACAAACACTAAGATAACCACACCAATATTCCTAACAAACACTAGGATAACCACACCAATATTCCTAACAAACACTAAGATAACCACACCAATATTCCTAACAAACACTAAGATAACCACACCAATATTCCTAACAAACACTAAGATAACCACACCAATATTCCTAACAAACACTAAGATAACCACACCAATATTCCTAACAAACACTAGGATAACCACACCAATATTCCTAACAAACACTAAGATAACCACACCAATATTCCTAACAAACACTAAGATAACCACACCAATATTCCTAACAAACACTAAGATAACCACACCAATATTCCTAACTAACACTAAGATAACCACACCAATATTCCTAACAAACACTAGGATAACCACACCAATATTCCTAACAAACACTAAGATAACCACACCAATATTCCTAACAAACACTAAGATAACCACACCAATATTCCTAACAAACACTAAGATAACCACATTAATATCCCTAACAAACACTAAGATAAACACACCAATATTCCTAACAAACACTAATGTACCTGGCCATGAAGGAAACTGATAAACATTCCAATCAGTGCAAGGCTTCAGGCCAGCTATTGGAGTCATGGCACTTTCATTTCTCAAATATACCTTTAAAAAAAATGGGATAGTGAACAAAATCCTAAAGCAGGGGATAAAAAATAAACATTTGGAAAGGATAACAATTTTCATGCAGGTCATGTCAGCTAATGATGTGGCAAGCTGTTCCTTAATATCAGATGATAATCAAGTACAAGAGAAGGACATTTAGAGTCAAGATCAGACTCACAGGCGACATCTGGCAACATGATATAGGCGCCAGCTGGCTGCTGCTCCTGTTCATTTAGTCATGTGACCTGTGATACCTTAAGCCTTGGTCCTGATGGCAACTGCCGGCCAGCATTTAATAGCCAGTGTCACGAGGTAACACAGTGTCACATTTACATATGTACATCACAGTGTCACGAGGTAACACAGTGTCACATTTACATATGTACATAACAGTGGCACATTTACATATGTACATCACAGTGTCACAAGGTAACACAGTGGCACATTTACATATGTACATAACAGTGTCACGAGGTAACACAGTGGCACATTTACATATGTACATCACAGTGTCACAAGGTAACACAGTGGCACATTTACATATGTACATAACAGTGTCACGAGGTAACACAGTGGCACATTTACATATGTACATAACAGTGGCACATTTACATATGTACATCACAGTGTCACAAGGTAACACAGTGTCACATTTACATATGTACATAACAGTGGCACATTTACATATGTACATCACAGTGTCACGAGGTAACACAGTGTCACATTTACATATGTACATAACAGTGGCACATTTACATATGTACATCACAGTGTCACGAGGTAACACAGTGGCACATTTACATATGTACATCACAGTGTCACAAGGTAACACAGTGGCACATTTACATATGTACATAACAGTGTCACGAGGTAACACAGTGGCACATTTACATATGTACATAACAGTGGCACATTTACATATGTACATCACAGTGTCACAAGGTAACACAGTGGCACATTTACATATGTACATCACAGTGTCACGAGGTAACACAGTGGCACATTTACATATGTACATAACAGTGTCACGAGGTAACACAGTGGCACATTTACATATGTACATCACAGTGTCACGAGGTAACACAGTGGCACATTTACATATGTACATCACAGTGTCACATTTACATATGTACATAACAGTGGCACATTTACATATGTACATCAGTGTCACAAGGTAACACAGTGGCACAATTACATATGTACATAACAGTGTCACGAGGTAACACAGTGGCACATTTACATATGTACATAACAGTGTCACAAGGTAACACAGTGGCACAATTACATATGTACATAACAGTGTCACGATGTAACAAAGTGGCACATTTACATATGTACATCACAGTGTCACAAGGTAACACAGTGGCACAATTACATATGTACATAACAGTGTCACGAGGTAACACAGTGGCACATTTACATATGTACATAACAGTGTCACGAGGTAACACAGTGGCACATTTACATATGTACATAACAGTGTCACGAGGTAACACAGTGGCACATTTACATATGTACATAACAGTGTCACGAGGTAACACAGTTGCACATTTACATATGTACATCACAGTGGCACATTTACATATGTACATAACAGTGTCATGAGGTAACACAGTGGCACATTTACATATGTACATAACAGTGGCACAAGGTAACACAGTGGCACATTTACATATGTACATCACAGTGGCACATTTACATATGTACATCACAGTGTCACAAGGTAACACAGTGGCACATTTACATATGTACATCACAGTGGCACATTTACATATGTACATCACAGTGGCACATTTACATATGTACATCACAGTGTCATGAGGTAACACAGTGGCACATTTACATATGTACATAACAGTGGCACAAGGTAACACAGTGGCACATTTACATATGTACATCACAGTGGCACATTTACATATGTACATCACAGTGTCACAAGGTAACACAGTGGCACATTTACATATGTACATCACAGTGGCACATTTACATATGTACATCACAGTGGCACATTTACATATGTACATCACAGTGTCATGAGGTAACACAGTGGCACATTTACATATGTACATCACAGTGGCACATTTACATATGTACATCACAGTGGCACATTTACATATGTACATCACAGTGGCACATTTACATATGTACATCACAGTGGCACATTTACATATGTACATCACAGTGTCACAAGGTAACACAGTGGCACATTTACATATGTACATCACAGTGGCACATTTACATATGTACATCACAGTGGCACATTTACATATGTACATCACAGTGTCATGAGGTAACACAGTGGCACATTTACATATGTACATAACAGTGGCACGAGGTAACACAGTTGCACATTTACATATGTACATCACAGTGGCACATTTACATATGTACATAACAGTGTCATGAGGTAACACAGTGGCACATTTACATATGTACATAACAGTGGCACAAGGTAACACAGTGGCACATTTACATATGTACATCACAGTGGCACATTTACATATGTACATCACAGTGTCACAAGGTAACACAGTGGCACATTTACATATGTACATCACAGTGGCACATTTACATATGTACATCACAGTGGCACATTTACATATGTACATCACAGTGTCACAAGGTAACACAGTGGCACATTTACATATGTACATCACAGTGGCACATTTACATATGTACATCACAGTGGCACATTTACATATGTACATCACAGTGTCACAAGGTAACACAGTGGCACATTTACATATGTACATAACAGTGGCACATTTACATATGTACATCAGTGTCACGAGGTAACACAGTGGCACATTTACATATGTACATAACAGTGTCACAAGGTAACACAGTGGCACATTTACATATGTACATAACAGTGTCACGAGGTAACACAGTGGCACATTTACATATGTACATAACAGTGGCACATTTACATATGTACATAACAGTGGCACATTTACATATGTACATAACAGTGGCACATTTACAAATGTACATAACAGTGTCACAAGGTAACACAGTGGCACATTTAATATGTACATAACAGTTGCACATTTACATATGTACATAACAGTAGCACATTTACATATGTACATAACAGTGGCACATTTACATATGTACATAACAGTGTCATGAGGTAACACAGTGGCACATTTACATATGTACATAACAGTGTCACGAGGTAACACAGTGGCACATTTACATATGTACATCACAGTGTCACAAGGTAACACAGTTGCACATTTACATATGTACATAACAGTGTCACGAGGTAACACAGTGTCACATTTACATATGTACATAACAGTGGCACATTTACATATGTACATCACAGTGTCACGAGGTAACACAGTGGCACATTTACATATGTACATCACAGTGTCACATTTACATATGTACATAACAGTGGCACATTTACATATGTACATAACAGTGGCACATTTACATATGTACATAACAGTGTCACGAGGTAACAGTGGCACATTTACATATGTACATCACAGTGTCACAAGGTAACACAGTGGCACATTTACATATGTACATAACAGTGTCACGAGGTAACACAGTGGCACATTTACATATGTACATAACAGTGTCACGAGGTAACACAGGGGCACATTTACAAATGTACATCACAGTGTCACAAGGTAACACAGTGGCACATTTACATATGTACATCACAGTGTCACAAGGTAACACAGTGGCACATTTACATATGTACATCACAGTGTCACAAGGTAACACAGTGGCACATTTACATTTACCTCACAACCTTCCACCACACACATATTATTAAAACAATATTGGGTGTAATATTATGAATATAAAAAATTAACTTTTTCCATAACTTTGTCAGTTCATGCATTCTATAGCAGAATACATGGCTTCACAATGCAAAAGATATTTTTTTCACATTGATATTGAGAATCATTTACTTAGTTCACAATTTCTGTTGGTTTGTTGCAAATCTTGTAACTCATGGTTTAACCCAGATACAATTGTCTTAGTTGGCAATGCAAGAATATCCGATTTTTTATTTGAACTTTTTTTTTAATTAGCCATTTTTTTATTTTCTGTGCATTTAATAAGCTTGTTATTATAAAGGTTTATATATTTGTTTTAAAATGCGTTGAATTAAAGAAAATACCTTAGAAATTAAAGGTGACAATGTATCTTCATCAAGATCCAAGACATTTTTAAAATCCAGGTCCTGCTTCCTAGCTTTGAAACGTTTAAACTCAGGAGTGAAGAGGTCTGCCTCTACTGCTGTTGTCATGATGACCTGCAGGTAGCTATTTGCTTCTTCTACAGCACGTCATCACATGGGCTATTAATTATTATATATAGTCGTTCACTAAATATAAATAACTCAATTTTAGAATAAATAGTAAAATAGGTAATCTAGTCTATCATTTTAGTTTTAGTATTTTAGTCCTTTTTACTTTTTAGTAACTTCTCTAGGTACATAAAATCGGCCGAGGCTAATGTGAAAACAAAGGTGACTCATTAAATTTTAGTTAGGGCCTACTTCATACTCATAGTTAGATTATTCTATAGAACTATACTAATAGTAATACTATACTACTAGATCTAGAATCTAGTACTAGATCTAGATCTAGTAGTAGTAGCCTAATAGATTTAGATCTAGATCTAGCTAGATTTAGGAGGATTTTTTCTGATCTAGATTTTATCTACATCTAGAGATGTCTAGATTAGATCTTAAAATTCTTAGGACTTAGATCTAGAATCTAGATCAGATTAGATCATCTAGAAATCTAGATCTAGATCTAGATAGATAGTAGATTCTAGATCTAGATTGAGAATAGAATAGAATAGATCTCTAGATTTAGATTTTCTAGATCTAGATCTAGTAGATCTAGCTATTTTTAAACAATTGTATTAAAACTTTACAGTAATAAAAAACAAAGACGAATCTAGCAATATTTTCATCAGATGCAACCAAGATTATTATCATGTAAAATAATTGAGAATAATAGAAATAATAAAAACACCATCATAAATGACAAATGATAATTATTAATTAATTTGTTAATTTCATCAAGGCCCAAATCACGCACAAATGTCAGGAAATTAATAATATCAGAGTAGTTTCCCTTGAGAATTTTGTTTCCAGTGGTTCTAATAGGGCTGGTAAGTAGGTCACCAACCAGTTCTACGGACAGAGTTTCTTCCAGGCATCTCTGGCGGAGGTCAAGACTCATGATTTGCGATCGGATTTAGTCTGTGCGGGCGAAATAAATAGCGGCCGCGACTTATAAGTTTTTATATGACAAATAGCTCTATAGGGCCCATCTTAAATCTAATAAGTCTATAATATATAAAGCTCAGTCTCTGCGGCGGACAGAGGACGACCGGACCCTTGACAATACAGACAGGGATAGAATAAAAAAAAACTCTACATCATCGCCAAACTAACCATTTTAATTAACGTCACTTGGAATAACTAAAGTTAAAGAAAATGCATCATCCTTCACAAATTTTTTTAAAAAGTGTACTATGATTACTTTCCTTGATAGATCAGAAACCTTGGGGGGGGGGGGGGGGGATACTTTTTAATAGTTTGTTTTAATGTTGGAAAAGAATGGATTAATGAAGTGCAATCTAAGTAAAACACGGAAATTTTAAATACTGCCTTTTATCTATGTTATACACTGAACAAACTGTATAGGGGTCATCCATAAATGACGTCAACACCAGAGCTGTCAGAAGCAAATGAGGATAACTGACCCTTTTTTTAATAAACCACAAGCGTGTTAGATGTAGGCTACACCCTGTCTCCCTCCCCACCTGCACACAGGCATGTATAATATAACCAATCATATTCTTCGAGTCTTAACAATGGAAGCCATTTTGTTTGTATGATCCCACCAAAGTAAACTCTTTTTGTCCCATGTCAACAGAAAGTATACCAAGCATACACGTTTTTTTTTAGATTAGACAGCCCATGGAGAAAGTAGAAATAAAATACTTTAACCGCCCCCCCCCCTTGAAAAATGTCTGAAAGAAACCCTGCCCTTTGGAAAGGTGTTTAAACTAGAGTTTTGCAGTTTATCTTACTTACCCTTCTTACTTTCCTTGAGTAAGGTACAACTGGCATTACAAATAAATGTTGAAATCTTTTTCACACTTATCTTTGCATTAGATTTGGAACCCTTCTTCTACACGATTTGGATTATTTTCTTTGAAAAACCATGTAGCTGTCAGATTTACCAGAGGTTGCTTCTGTCTAAGCTATCAAAAGCCTTTTCAAAATCAATAATAACTAATTAATAAGAGGGCTATTCCATCCATAATTTTGTATTTGTCACAAGGTTAGTGTGTGCTTTGCCTAAACTTAAACTCAGCTTGTTTTTTCATCTGCAACTCAGATTCTCTCTAGAATTATTCTGTCTAGAATGATTCTGCAAAATGTTGTACTGGTGAGTGGTAGAAGTGTGATGCTTCACTAGTTTCAATACCCTTTTATTTTGGCAGTTGGGATTTTTCATTCTTCCAGACATCTTGCAAAATTTTAAACATGATTTTTGGTGTCTGTGGGTTCTGTTCTATGCATTTCTACACTTATTAGATTGTAAGACCAAATCATTTAATTTCTTCTTTGGTTTCTGTAGCACGTTTTTATTTTTGTGATAAGGTTACTGGCCTTGTTTAACCTCCACCAACCATAAAAATTTGCACTAAACCTTTATATCAAGAAGAAAATCTATAGGCTACTTGCACTAAACCTTTATATCAAGAAGAAAATCTATACTTGCACTAAAACTTTATATCAAGAACAAATCTATAATTGCACTAAATCTTTATCATATCAAAAAGAAAATCTACTTACACTAAACCTTTATATCAACAACAACAAAAAAAATCAAATACTTGCACTAAACCTTTATAGAAGAAAAAAATCATATACTTGCAATAAACCTTTATTTCAACAACAACAAAAATATTTTGAGGGCCTACTTGTCACTGTTTACCCGATAAATTTTAAATAATAACAAACAAGTATAATTACCAGATATTATTCACATTTTAAATAAAAACAAGCATAATTTCCAAAAATTATTTACATTTTAATGAAAACAAACAGACATGATTACCAAATACATTTTGACCAAACACTCTTAGTCTAGTAATATCATGAACTTTTTAATACTTTTAATTGGACCAGTAGGTCAAAACAAAGAAAAAACCTTGTGTGTCTGTGTGTGTTTTTTATGCATTACTACACCTTTCATCTGATCGGCATGAAACTTTGGAAGTTGTTGAGAATAATCCTGGGGTGGTTTCTGCGAATTTTTTTTTCAAATTCGCAGAGGTAGCGGCGCTATTTGCTTTTTCTCTCTATATGGTATATAAAAAAATAAAAGTCCATTGCGGTTGGACACAGTTCATTGGATTGCCATGAAACTTTGGGGAGTTGATTAAACACTCCAGGGAAGGGTTCTGCAAAAAAAATATTTTTAAAAAATTTTTCGCAAAAGTGGCTCCCCTGGAGTGTGTGATTTTACGATATCTAAAAAATAAAAGTCGGATGCAATTCGACACTGTTTATCTGAGTGCCATGAAACTTTGGGAAGGTAATGAAAATACACCCGAGAAGATTTCTGTGCACAAAATAATTAAAATTTGTTATGGACGGCGTCCGGGAGGGTGCGATTTTCGTCAATACACAATTTGGCACCCAGAGTTCCAGGGCGGCTATGTTAGCATTTGGCATCCGTTATATATATTCAGCAGTGAAACTCCAACAAGCGCAGACAAAGGAGCCCCGTTGATTGTGATACCTGAAGCTCCCCTGTGAGCACTACGACGCTTACATTCATTTTTTAAAAAAAGCTATAAAGACACAATGGGCAGCAATGGTCGTTGACAATATCAAACCATGCGTGTCACAGAGCGCCCCACCAGTTTTGATTTGGCGCCCTGGGCTTCCCCATGAGTGCAATGGGGCGTATGTTTGTTTTAAACAGTGTGATAGACAATGGATTAGATGGAGCTTTATAAAACGAATCATATAAGATTAGTAATGCAATGATGAAACCCTCTTAAAATATTACGTCATACTTTCTACTATAACCACGGCAACATGTGGGGACGGGCCACGCTAGTGTAATATATATTACTGTTTATTCTTGCAGTGAAAAAAAAAACAGGTTTACCTTCTGAGTGCCCTTACACTTCTAAAAATGTTTTTACCTTAAAGTGTACTTAACTTCTAAAAATGTTTTTACCTATAGAGTGCACTTAAACTTCTAAAAATATTTTTACCTATAGAGTGCCCTTACACTTTTAAAAAATGTTTCATTAAAACTATAAGGTACAACCTTCAATTGGAAGTTGGAAACACCTTCAGTTTTCTGCTATATATTCATCGGGCCATTGTTTTGATACAAGAAATTTTTTAAAAATTTTGTTTCTTTTTGTTCACTAAAAATACTCTATTAGATATAATAAAATGTGTAAAAATGGTAGATCCATTATGGTAAATAAGATGTTTTTTTGACAACATGAACCACTCCCCAATTGTTTTAAAAAAATGCTTACTAATCTCAATTAATAAATGAAGCATTAATGAATGGGTCTAGTCTATACATTAAATACACAAAACATACACTAAGAGAATGTTAAAATCTGACATATTTTAAAAACAACAAAACTTAAAATATTCGAAGTAGCTAATTGACCCTAAGCAAATTGGTATTTTCATTTTTTCAAACTCATTTGTTCACTCTAGTTCTGTAGTTTTGCTACACAGTTTAAATGAGTGGCTTGAGAATGTCAGACCAGACTAAAACCAGTCAAGGCTAACTTGTTTGATCAAGTATTTGGTTTCGGCAGTGGCTATTCAATAAGAGAACTGACTACTCTGACAAAGTGGGATGAGGTAGGTCATGACTGTCAAGATTCTGCAGAGTGGGACTTCTCATTCAGTAGTTCCTCCATCACTCGCAATGCCTGCAACAATATTGTTCACATATAAAAGTGAATAAAACTGACAGCTGAGCCTGCAACAACATTGTTCACATATAAAAGTGAATAAAACTGACAGCTAAGCCTGCAACAATATTGCTGTCATATAAAGCAAATAAAACTGATATTTTCTTTTTCTAGTGCACTAAAAAGAAGAAAAGAAATGATTTTTTTATCCTCAAGTATATAAATATTGAACCATTATTAAAATAACTATAACAATTGTGGACCACTTATAAAATCATAAAATAAAAATAAATAAAATAAAGATATACAATTCATAAATACCTTTAGTGCTCCTTTGTTCAGGAATTTGCAGGCAAATATTTCTAGCAGGGCTCCAAGTGATCCGAGGTTTTTTACTTCAATATAACCACTCTGTTCAAACTTTGTCCTAATGTAATGTACGTCATTACATCAACATAAGCACAAACTTTATGTAATGTACAATGTCATGGCTAGATCCTGATATACCACTAAAAGAGATGATCCTAATATACCACTAAAAGAGATTATCCTAACATACCACTAAAAGAGATGATCCTAACATACCACTAAAAGAGATGATCCTAACATACCACTAAAAGAGATGATCCTAAAATACCACTAAAAGAGATGATCCTAACATACCACTAATAGAGATGATCCTAACGTACCACTAAAAGAGATGATCCTAAAATACCACTAAAAGAGATGATCCTAACATACCACTAAAAGAGATGATCCTAACATACCACTAATAGAGAGGATCCTAACATACCACTAATAGAGATGATCCTAAAAGAGACACCAATAATTTACCAGTTAGCATTGTCAGCTGCTGGGGCAAACTTGGTCTGTTCATTCATCGTGGCGTACTTGGCCCAAGTGATGTTCCTTGATTTGACCAGCAAATCACCAGATCTGAGATTCATCCAAGACTCTTCTTCCAGAATGATAGCTTTTTCATTTAAAACATCCACCTGTATACAATCAATGATAAATTGATAATGATAAATTACTATATATATCATAATCTGTATGAATCTACATAGATTTGTCCATCATCTCCCATCCATCTATCCATCATCTCCGATCCATCCATCCATCCATCCATCCATCCATCCATCGTCTCCCATCCACCAATCCATGTTTGTCGGGATGCCATTGTCCTGTGCCATTGTGTCCCTATTGTAGGGTTCTGGTTAAAACAAACATTAGTGTTCATGGGGGAGCCCAGGGCAAAAAATACTGTCTGAGTGCTGGATACACCTGATTCAATTTAGTGAACGACTTTAAAAAACTATATATATACATATACATACACATACACACATATACATACACACATACATATACATACACACATATACATACATACACACATATACATACATACACACATATACATACATACACACATATACATACATATACATACACACATATACATACATACACACACACATATACATACATACACATATACATACATACACACATATACATACACACATACATATACATACACACATATACACACATATACACATACATACACACCTATGCATACACACCTATACATACACACACACATATAAACACACACATACACACACATGCACACACACATATGCACACACATGTGTACACATGTGTGTATACATATACGTGTCTGTGTACGTGTGTGTGTACATGTGTGTGTATACATGTGTGTGTACATGTGTGTGTATACATGTGTGTGTATAAGTGTGTGTTTTATATGTGTGTGTATATGCATGTGTGTATGTGTGTATATGTATATGTATGTGTGTGTGTATATGTGTGTGTATGTGTGTATATGTGTGTGTGTATGTGTGTGTATAAGTGTGTGTTTATAAGTGCATGTATAAGTGTGTGTGTGTATAAGTGCGTGTATATAAGTGTGTGTGTGTATAAGTGCGTGTATATAAGTGTGTGTATATAAGTGTGTGTATATATGTGACCTAGGCTACTCGCAGCGCCAAATGTGACCCTGCTCGCAGCGCCAATTGTGACCTTCCCCGAGTCTATCCTGCCCGACAACGCCAATTGTAACGAGTTGAACCACTCATGCTACACAACATCGACTACAGTAGAAAGACTCAAAGATGCAGGTTCGCTATTGATCCTTTTATTACATGAACCAAGAAATGCTTCAATATAACACAATGAATCAACAGAAATGTTTCACAATAATAGTCTGAATCAACTGACCCCTAACAGTCCTCACTAGGCTTCATATAACTGAATCCACATGTCTATTGTCCTTCTTAACACAATATAACCAACTTGATATGTCACACAGACTGACTGATCTAAAGCGAGCGATGAAGAGGGAAGAGAGCGAGTTCAGCCGTCCCCTCCTATTTATCCCTTGTATTCGTACTCATCTTCGTACTTGTATTCCTCCGTAATCGATACTTGTACTCGATGTCTCCGACCACTAGTTGCGCAGTTCTAACGTACAGTCCGTGTCATAAACATCTGCATCCTATCAATCAAAGTTGACAGGCCGTCTGAATCCCCTCGTACCGTTTCCCAAAATAGCACGCGTTGGCTTTGAGATTGTTATCAGTCCGATCCAATAAGCCACCTGCTATCGGTTGCATCAGACTGTAATACTGCGTCTCGGCTTATCGTTCGTTATCAGATTTGTAACTAGTAGCTAGGCCTACCCTAGTTACATCCACCCCTGCCTTTTTTTGTGTGTTTTCAACCACAAACAACGCCTGGCAGGTGCACTTCTCCAAAGTCAATCGCACAATCGTAAAAAAATTTTATTGTTCCACTCACTGTCCACGACGTTCCCTTCGTATACGATTGACAGTTATACCTATTTCACATATCAACTGTGTCTACATCGTCTTCCTGAGACACAAAACAGTTCTAGAATTCACATCCACCCTTTCCATTTGGTGCCTTCACCAGTTCACTTCTATAGCTTTTTTGAACAGTCTGTTCTCATACCAGCGCGACCATGAAAGACTTGATGGTTGCTGACAAAAAATTTCGTCTTCCTTCTGTTCCTCAAACTTCTCCGCGGACCACTTATCTGATGGTCTACTGTCTCTCTGCTTCTGGAAGGAACGGGATCCTCTTTGTTGCCGTTATCCTCCACTTGTATATCGCGGTTGTTCTGTTGATGGTGATATGGTTCCGGGATGGGTATGTGAATTTCCGTTATAGTTTCCGGTTCCCTAATTGTCTTGGATTTCCTTGTGTGTAACTGCTCTTCTTGCCTATTCCAATATTTCTTTAATTGAGCAATATTCGCCCACCGATCCGGTTTGGCGTGATCGATGGGTCTTATCTTGAAGGGGCCACCTGCTACTTTAGGCATCTCCACGACTTGCCATATCTCCTGTCCCCAGAGATCGTGGATTTTGTTTCTGCCTAACGGGTGGCTACGCAGTAATACCCTGTCATTCAGTTTGAGTGGCGGGTCCTTTGTCTGTACCGGCGGTTCCCTTCGCCGTGCTTCATGTTCTAGTCTTTCCTGTACTACCCTGTACATTTCTCTAATTCTTCTCATATGTTCATTCACATATTCCAGTGCGGTGTATGAGCCAGTCATACTCTCTCTTTTTCCTAGGAACAAATCAAGAGGGAGTCGAGCCTCCCGTCCGAACAGCAACATGTGTGGCGAAAAGCCGGTTGTGGCATGGGGTGTGCAGTTGTATAGATATACCAACTCTGGGAGAAAATCAGGCCAACGTTTTTTCTGTTCAGGTTCTAGTGTACGCAGCAAATCATGCATGCTGCGGTTGAACCGTTCACACTGTCCGTTTCCTTTCGGATTAAATGTGGTTGTTCTAGATTTGTTGATCCCGTAGTGGCTGCACAGTTGGTTAATTACTTCTGACTCAAAGGCCCTTCCTTGGTCAGAGTGTAATTGTCTTGGTATGCCATATTTGATGAACCAATGTTCTATTAAGACCTTTGCCACTGTTTCGGCAGTCTGATCTCGCGTGGGCACCGCCACCGTCCATTTGGTGAATACATCAGTCATTACCAACACATGTTCCGTCCCATCCGATGATTGCTCCAACGACGTAAAGTCCATAGCCACAATCTCTAGTGGTTTTGTCGCTAGTAGGTGTCCTGATGGCTGTCTCATTTTGACAACTGGCATTTTCGCATGCTGACACCTCACACAAGCCTCACAATGGCGTTTGACCTCCATTTCCATATTGGGCCAGTAACACCTCCGTCGTAATATTTTGTGCGTCCTGTCCTGACCCTGGTGTCCTGCCCTGTCATGTGCCAACCTTAGCACTTCTTCTCGTAACTGTCCAGGCACCACCACCTGGTGTATTGTCCCATCAATTTGGTCATGAATTCTCCGCATGAGAACACCCTCCTTTATACTGAGACGGTCCCACTGACTCAGTATTTTCTTTGTTTCTCGACCAAATTGTTCTCTTTCCCTTCTTCCTGGGAATTTTTGTTCCTGGACGTATTTCAATAGCGGTTGTAAGCCACTATCCGTTCTCTGGGCATCTCTTATCTTTTTGTGATTAAGGCAATTAACATCACCACTGTCCATATGTTCGGGCTCTGTGGATATGTGCTCCACCCCGGTCTGCCCGTTTTGCATCACTTGTACCCCATGAGGGATATCTGTTGACGCTCTGACCTCACATATTCCTGTCAGCGTTTCTTCCTCATCACCCGGTCTCTCGTAAGGATTCCTTGATAAAGCGTCCGCATTGCCATTGGACCGCCCCGGGCGATGTTTTCTCTCTAGGTCAACGAGTGCCAATTCTGCTGCCCATCGCTGTTCGATGGATCCCAGCCTTGCTGTAATTTGAAGTTCTTTTTCAATATCGGATAATTTCTCTTCAAGTCTTGTTTGAGACTCTTTCATTTCTTCTAGTTTGCCAACACTGTTCTGTTGTCTACTATTTTTATTTACTTCTTCCGATAACAGACACTCTAAAGATGAACATTTCTCCTGTGCTTTTAATTTGCATGAACTTCCCCTATCATCATTTTTCTTAGCCAACAAATTGTTCACTTGAAACTTTTCAACATTCAAGTTCATTTCACAGTTCATTTTTTCTATTAGTTGTGTTTTACCTTTCTTTTTCTCCTTACTGTGTTTCTGTGTCATTTTGTTTACTAAGTCATTACCTCGCCGCTCTGTAGCCTTGACCTGCCTTACAGAGGGCGATCGTTTCACCGGACAGTACCGTGCCATATGTCCGGGTTGTGAACAGGACAAGCAAATTGGTCGACCGTCAGCCGTCCATTGGAGTGATGGAGCGGCAGGTCGCGGCTGTCCAACCTGTCTCTGTTTTGTCCCGTTTTTGCCCTGATTCTCAGCTGTTGACCTGCTTTCTAACCTCTCCAATCGTTGGTCAACCTTAACTAGGTGGGCCAACAGTTGAGCCATTATGGTCTCCATCGTGTCGGCCCCTGTGGGTGGGGATTGTCTCTGTTCAGGCACAGAGACTTTGTCCACCGAACAGTTCGATTGGTCCTCATCCTCGGACCTGCGGATCGCTGAGTTCCTGACCTGAAGGAAGGTCAACTGCGGGTCTTTGTGGACCTCCTCTTTCAACTCTCTTCTTAGGATCGGGGTTGCTAGCCCCTCGATGAACTGGTCCCTCAGTAGGCGTACATCAATGTCCGGTATTTTGCCCTTTACCGAATCAAAGGCCCTGTTCATCCGATGTGAGTACTCCATCACACTCTCCGCCATTCTCTGCCTTAAGCCTACGAACCCTGATAGCAGTTGCGATCCCGACCGTCTCTCCCCAAAGGTCTCCATAATCAGATCCAGCACCTTATCTGGATCTGATTGGATGGTTTTATCGTGGCATTTGACCTCTGCCCTGACCGTCTCTCCTATACTTCCCATCAGCAGTCTTAATCTTTCCTCTGGTGACATGTCTCTTGAGGCCCAGGCAGCCCTGACCTCTTCACTGAACCTGTTGGTTAGGGTTGGATCACCGTCCCCGTGAAATTTGTTGATGTGGGACTCACTGGGCAGGACCACAATATGGATCGGCTTTTTGTCCACATTTTGTCCTGGTCCATCTGGAGGCAAAGGGTCATCTTTACCGTTGCCTATCTTGTCTGACTCAGATTGTTGGGCCAGCAGGAGTTTTTGTTCCTTTCCGATATCTAAAATATCACTCCCGCGTCTGCCACTTACACCAAGGAAAAATGTTGCAGCTATGCAGCAGATAGTGTTGCCCAAAAGGGAGCTCATGACACATTTCCAGTGTCCAAGCGTTACATCCATCTCTTGGTTGCCATCTTTGCACAGTATTTGT